CATTCCGATCTTTTGAAAATCACGTGATCGGCTCCGATCCCCGATCACGTGATCGGATCGGTACATCTCTATATAAAACCACAGAAATACAAATAAAGAGATTAAGAACTATAAAATAAATAAAACAATATGAAGGTAGGTCAATAATAAAGACTAAAATAACTTTTAAAGTGGGGGGTTGCTAATAAAAAGCAAATCAAAAAAATGTGTCTTTAGCTGGAGTATGGATTTGTTGTGGGCTGCAGCTGTTAAATACCACTTCTAAACACATTACACCCCTTTTCAGAAACTGGAGCCTGCACAACTGCGTAAGATCCATTCCATGGACGGTGGTTTGGGCCTCCCCATTTCCAGGAATGGTGTGGGCTCTCAGCCAGTGCCCAGACTTTCCAACTGGGTGTCCAACGGCACATCAAAGCTGCCAGGTGGACCCACGTTTATCGACGAGCCATTCAAGAAGCTGAAGAAGCCGTCCCCCCAGAGCCAGGGGCCGTCCCGCAGCGACACCCCCACCCCTTCCAACGGGGTCAGCAGGACGGAGGGAGACAAGAAGCAGGGCGGCGAAGGCAGAGGCATGTCAGCGTCTACCTCATTCAAGTCTTTGTCTGACTCCTCCTCTGCCGACACATCGGACTCCAAGGTAATATTTGCACAGGATAAGGAAAGAAAAAAAACACACATTTTTAGTTCAAAGGTGGGATCGCCAAGGAAAAACCTTGGCGATCCCACCTTTGAACTAAAATGTGTGTTTTTCACTTACTGACATCATTTAGATGCAGAGTATTTGTCGGGTGGGGTAAGATGTTAATCAGTGGTGTGTATACAAGCTATTTAAGACAGTTTCCTGAGTAGTGATTAGTTGTGAAAAATGTCCATCTCATTTCCTTTAAACCACAGATTAAGTCTTAACATTGTGAGTTTTTTCCAAATAATTAGAAAATGTTGAACAACCCAAAGATATTCAGTATATGATAACATAAAACTAGGGCAGTTCTTTTTCTATATTCTTTTTTGTTTATTTACCTTTTCATTTTTCTTTACGCTTGAGTGCAAATGTTATACTAATAGCAAAAATACATGTACGCACAACATCAAGTAGTGGCCTATAATGTAAAAGTCTTATCTCCTGAACACACAATGCATACTGCTAAGCTGAATTTGGATGAATAAAAATGTGTAAAATGGCTCGGACACTACAACATATTCTTAATATGGAGATTCAAAGGGATGTATAGAATCCATTTAAGACCAGGTGTAGCTGCACAGGAGCATAACCACAGCCTATGGTTGCCTTTGTCCCGGGCAGGATTCGGTGGGGACCAGAAGTGCGCCTGTCGGAGAGACCCCCTCCACCCCCCGGAAAGGCTCCCTCAGCCTGGCCTCTCCAGCCAAGAGCGTGGAGCGCTCTCAGAGCACAGAGGAGCAGAAGACAGCTAAAATCAAACCCCCGGCCCTCAACAACATCACGTCTGAAGCCACCATGTCACCTCCACCTGCCAAGAAACTGGCCCTGTCAGCCAAGAAGGTGAACTTCATTCCCATCCACAGCCACAGCATCACTTCCTGTCTTAGTGAATGTTCATGATACCTTGGTTTCCTGTTGCCTGAATCAACACTGCTATCCATAATTTGACTATTGATTTCATGAAGTAGTTTTGTAGAGGCAAGTAAACTGTCCCCTTGTAGTTTATTGTTATGCTGTACGTGACGTGTTTCTTCTCCAGTTTGCCTGTCTAATCAACCACGTGATAGCTCGTGTTTAGAGTTTGTCTTCTTTTCCTTCAGTTTGTTCTTTTTTTCTAACCATTTCTAATTCTTCTCTGCCATACCCTTTCCTCTTTGTTTTCCTCCCTCCATCTTTTCCTTCCTGCCATCCCTTTAATCTCCCTCTTCCTTATTTTGATTCTCTTCCTTATTTTTGTCACATTCATGGCTATTTTTTTTAGACCACCAAGTTTTTATTTATGTCGATAACTGCAGGCTCGCAGCCGGAGACCGAGCAGCATTGATGCTCTGCCCCCTTTGCCACGCCAGCTGTCCAGTGACCCCACGCATCAAAATCAACTTAACCCCCTCACCTTTGCCTCACCTACCCACACTCACAGGTATGAACTCTGAACCCCCGCATCTTATGGGAAATGCGCAAGAAATGTGTCCGGCTTACTGAAAATTAGCAGATGAAATCCTGACGTTTTCTAATGTTTCCTTCACAGAGCTGTACCATTCCATTCACCTAAAGTCCAGTCTTCACCTTTGGCCCACTCAAGTGGATCCTTCAAACAGCAGAGCCCTCAGAAACAGTCCCCTCTCTCCACTCCACAAAAACCAAACGCCAGCCTTTCTCCTAAAACCAACGGGCTTCACAATGCCGGCCCAAAGAGCCCCAAGTCTTCCAACAACCTCAGCTCCTTGGTCCAAGAACCAGACCTCAACAGCGCTCAAAAAGTCAACCAAAAGAAGAAGAGGAAAAAGAAGCGCAGGCATTCTGAGGTGGAGGGTGACACAGAGCCAGCAGCTGAAGTGATACAGGCCGACCCCGTGGAGTCAGCCAGCGAGAAGAAGCGCAAGAATAAAAAGAAGAAGCGAAAGAAGGCGCATGAAGACGGAGAGGAAGCCAAGGAGAGGGAGTGTGTCCTGTCTCACCTGGACACACCCAACCAGGAAGAGGACTGGTGCCAGGGTGGTATGTGGAGCCTTACATCCCATCCAGATACAGAGCAGTCCAAACTAAAACCTCAGTTAGCTACCAAAACCCCAACGCTTTGCGAGTCAAATCCGGAAGACCAGGGAAAAGACTCTGTGAAGTTGAAAAAGAAGAAGAAGAAGAAGCTGCAGGTGGAGGAGGCTCTGGAGGATACATCTTCAGCATGCTCCGCACCAGAGAGGTGGGGTTGCGTTTAGGATTGGTTTAGTTATACATTTTATTTTGTCTCCAAATATATTTTATAATTTGAAGCTTATCATTTTGAAAGGAGAGGCTCAAAACTGTGTTTCTATAACAACCAGACATTCGTAGTAACTCCCACAATGCAACCAGCGAGCAATAAACTTATTTAACTTGTTTTTTTTCCCCAACAGAACTTCGGAGATGAAGGCCACAGACACACAGAATAATACGGCAGATTTGATAATGTTGAAAAAGAAATTAAAGAAGAGGAAGAAGAAGCTAAAAGAAGAGGTGAGCCTGTGGGAGGAGAGTAGGCGCTGCTCGAATGGACACAACGACGAGCCTGAACAAGTGGAACCTCCTTCCAACGAGAACACCAAGGAGAACGGAGAAATTAGTCAAAACAACACAGGTATGCGAGCATGCACTTACATAATGTTTCCATGCCAACACAGAATGTTCTATAGCCCTCTGTATTGATTACAGCCATTTGCAGAACATCGCTGCACCACAACTGCCTCATTTAAGTGACCAATCAGTTCACTGAGAGCATTACTCAGGACATTTCAAGATAAATCATTTGGTTTTGGATTGTTTTTCTAAATTCCAGCCAGAGTGGTGGTGTGGGACAGCCAAGTGAAGGACGGCTACAAACGCAGCAAGGCGCCAGCGGCTGATGGAGGTGAAGTAGGAGACACCCCGGCCCCTGCAGCCCCTGCTGCTCCTGGAGCCTGGGACGGTAAAAAGACAAGTGGTGTGGTGGAGGAGCTGCTGAAGAACTCTACAGACAAGGCCTACGGAGCCAACGGTAAAACACAGGACGTTAATCTGATCAGCTGTATGAAAGAAACTTTGATCATTCTTTGCAAAGAATTGTATATGAATGTTATGTTTTGTTTGTCTTCTCTAGTCCTTAGTTGGGATGGAGATGTCTCTGCTATTAGTAGAGATGCTGCCGACGATGTCCGCCAAGCCCAGTGTGACACTGTGATCGATGAGTGGGATGAAGACTTTGATAGGGGAAAGGTGAGCAAAAAAAACAATACTCTTTAAATCAGTTTTTCTTTCATTCGTAGATCCATTTTTGCTGTATCTTGGTTTCATCTTCTCATGTTTTTTTTGTCTGAATGAACAGGTGAAGAAAATCAAAAACTATAAAAGAGAGAAGTGGAGAGGTGGCAGCAGCATCTTCCAACAGATCCAGGAAAGGCGGAGCAAGTGGTCTGTCACGCCCGGCGGGAAGAGAGCTTTTGGAGTCCGTCGCTGAGAGTCCAGATTGCTGTTGAGGCTCTTGCTGACTGGAAATTGAGACAACACTGAATACCAAACTTCTGTACCTTTAATCAGTCTTTTATTTTTATTATTTTTTTTTTATCTCTCTTTCCTTTGTTGAGACCCAAATTACACGAAAGAACCGCAGACTACTTTGACAGTCTTGATCTCAATTTTAAACAAACCTGAAATATTGGCTTCAGTGTTGAGCAATCTTATCCCCTTTTTAATCAAAATACTGAATCAAGCTTTTCTACGCATGCAATATGTAACAGAAACCTCTACACCTCCATGTCAAATGAATATGAAAAATAATTTGTTGGCCTCCTTTGAGCCTATTGTTTTTGCCCTAACAATATTCAGCTTCTATTAAATTAAATAGTTGCTATGTGTAGTATGAAATCTTATATCTGCTACACTTCGGCTGTCTTGTGTTGGAAACTGAACACAATCTCAGAGCCAAGTTTTGCAGACATAAGAGCTCCGTTTGTAGGACGTTTTTAAAACTCCTAAAATTCTTCTATTCTAAATTACAAATATCAAAAATATATTATTATAGATTTCTGTATGATTTACCTATTGTATACCTTTGTTCGCCGACATTTTATTTTACTGCAGTGTCAGTGCCACGTGGCTTGTTTTTAAGGACCACATTTTGCCTGCATATTGTTGGTAAAATTAAGCTTTAAAATGGCCACTATTTTCTTAGTATGCATGTTAAAGATATACAAAGGTAAATTTGTTTTTAGTTGTGCAAGTTTTTGTTTGTAATTTCTTTTTTTTCTCCTTTACAAATCCTGTTTATTTCAGATTTAAATGTAGATACATTTAAGGCCACAAAAGAATGCTCTGTCAATTTCTATTAACAGTTAAACTGTTAGTGGTTGTGTTCATGAACCACTTGTTGGATGATTAGCCTCTGTTTACCTTGACCTTACTGGTTATTGACAACTCATAATGTGTTATACAGGATGTAGGTTGGGGTTGTTGGGCGGAACTGTCATCAGTCCAGCGTTCAGGAGCTCTGTGGAGATTTGACTTTTCACAAACTGTTCTTCACCAATGTTCTGAAATAAAGGGGTTGCATTTTATACTTGAGGCACTTTGTTAGACTGGGATTGCCACATGCTAATCATTTATTTCCCCCTTGTATCTTATATCTCTATGCAATTTTCTGATGCTCATGCTGGTCACCTAGAAACTGGGCTAAGTCTCAGGAAACCAGACAACCCGTATCCCATTTTCATCTCGGATCATACTCCCCTGTTTCATATTAGACTAGTTCCTATCCAGGACCACCATTTTGCTTCTTGTACATCCTGTAGAAATAGTTTTTTACAAAATATTTCAGGTGTGGAAACCATGGGATCATCTTGCACCAATCCTGGCACAGATGCGTAGAGAAACTAGCGTTATAAAAAATGCTTTGCCAGCGTAGAAGCGTGTACAGTCCATCTTGTGCTACCTGTTTCCCACCACCGCTGTAAAGATTTGCCCATGCATTTCTTCTCATTCTAGAGATGTTGCCTTGAATTGGCTATCAAAAAAGTATAGGATGTAATGTTATAAATATATAATTTTAAAGAAGATAAGACACAGATCTTTTATGTGCTACTAATACTCAGATCAGTGGGTGGATGTTAACTTAAGCAATTATCTGCAAATGTGTTTGCTCGTGTGTGTGTGAGAGAGCGGTCTTCATGCAAGACCTTCCCTATGTCACTGGTGTGTACAGTACAAAAGACTACAGCAGTCTAATTTCCATAGGACATGTTTGTCTGCTATGAAATCGGCAAAGGATGTGACTCTCAAACTAACACAGGAACATTTACCAGTGTGGATGGACGGTCCACATGTTTGCATTGATGGTTCTATATTTTGCACCACTTCTTTCTGACCATGGAGGAGACCTTTCATAATGAAAGTGTCTCTTTCCACATTATAGTTAGCTATAAAGGTGCAATAAAGTTGTGACTTTTGTGAGTTGGTGTGGATTTTGTCTTGTAATTTGACATTCAGTGAAAGTAGCAGTCAGTACTGTAAAAAAGGGTATTCGATATTGTACAAAGATGTATCAGAATCCTTTGAGGGAACAGCTAAGTCACATGTTCATTGTTACTGTGACTTTTTAAATGTAGGAAATCCAATATAATCGCACAAACAAGTTGTTGTGGGGCCAATTGAGCTGGCAGTACTTTGAATGATTATAACTACTAATACTGCAATTATAGTTACATTCCTTAACCACAGCAACCAGCTTTTTATCTGTAAAAAATCAATCTTTAACCCAGTGTTCACTTCCTGATCAGCACCAGCAGTGACAGTTGGTGACTAAACGAACGACGAGCTAGCTAGCTAAGCTAAGTGCAGCATTTAGCAGCTAGACCCAGAGATGTTATTTAAGTCATTTGAAATCTCTTCTCTTCTAGAAAAAGAGATGCATGAGTGAACATAGGAGTTAAATTAACCAGTGGACCAAAACACAAGTTTGATTTATAATAATTGATTTGCTACAGAAACACTTTTTGTTATATTCCATGGAATGCTCTTAACATCCCGATAGCAATGAATACATTAAATGCTTTGACAATATAGATACATAGAAAAATGTAATCTGTGGAAGCCGTGGCGCTGTAAAAAGCACGACCAATTATTTTAGCCGGCCCGGCTAAAATGACTGGGCTAAAATAATTGGATGGCTGGAAAGAACTGGATTTTTAAACTCAAAAAAGTGGCAGCATGGTGTAAACAGACATGATTATCATCACCTGCGTCTCAGATTTCAATGCAATCCATATAAAATGAATGATTATTGTTTTTTGTTGGGAAACAAAAACAATCTAAATTATTCAAACAAACCATTGGTTGATTGATCATAATTTAAAAAAGTCAAACTTCTTGGGTTTTTCCTTTGTGTGTTATTTGATTGAAGAGGTACTGGAAAATAACCGGGTGAAACAAAAGTGCCCACAATCCTTCTGTGTATTGTTGACTAATGCAAACGGACCACACCCTGGACAACAGTATTACAAGTATTAAACTCCCAAAATAACCCAAAACTAGAGTATCAGCTTCAGTTCAAAGATCATGGAAAGGAAGGAGATAGAAATAGAGTATGGTACATTGGCAGCATTTATAGCACTTTTCCACTCTCGTGACCCCTCAAATGACTTTGACATAAATCAAGTTGAACAGCAGGATACACACATTCATATAGTGCATGCACTTGCTAAGGGGGAACAAGATTCACACTCACACTGATCGCCATGCAATCAGGAGCAATTTAGGGTTTATTATCTTTGTCTCATAAGTTCAGGAGGAGAGCCCAACAATGATGGAAATGAAGACTGTCCACACCTATGGTTTTGATCACACGAATGATTTCCATTATTATTATTATCACTCAGTTTGTGCATCTCGCATAGCTTGTGTTTAGCAACTGAGATATTACATCTTATTGAACCAGGTGTTCACCTGTTACTCTGTTAATGTGCCTTTGGCCACAAGACACAGATGTACACTTACTGTGTATGAAAGTCCTTTTTGTGTTTGTGTTTACGCAACATAATGGTTCTTTTTATTAACAAGGAAACAATGCATTATTCATTCATTTAGAGTTTTAGACAGTACATCTCCCTTTAAAGCCAGTCTCATTAACTGTTGCTGAACAGCAGACAGTGCAGCCTCTAAGTTATAGAAAAGTGTTGAATGTTTCAAATGTAGCTTAGTAGTAATTTAGCATCTGGGTACAAGGCTTTGCTGGTGTAACATTAAGAAAGTCAAAAGAGTCAGTCTGTCTTGCAGATTTATTTATTTTTTGACATGAGGCTCATAATTTCTCTTTATTCTGAGAAACATAATCTAATTTTAAAGATTATTTTTGTTAAACCTATTCAGCAATTGTTGGTCAGCCAGCTGTACTAAATCAGAGCTGTGGTCTGTTCCTATTCAGTGTCATAGAAAGGCCTTGTGGCAGTCATGTGACTATTACCCTGTACATTATGCCCACACATCAAAATACAAGATCTCTGCTCACCGTTATTAGAGCATTCGTATTGTACTATATTCCAGATTTTATTGTATATAGTTTATATTTGTGTTCATGTGCCATGTTTAGAGCTTTAGTGAAGTGCAAGTGCATTTTCAGAAGGAAATACTTTTGTGGTTTGGAGCTACATGCTGTAATGTAAAAGTACCTGTTGTACCTTGTGGCCACTGGAGGGAAGCAGTGCGACGATCAGTTGTGAATGAAAAGAAACATGAGACACAAATCAATAAGTCTCCCCTGAAATGAATACATTATGTTTTATATGATATATCCACACAAGCTTATGGTCTTTTTTGCCTAATGTTCATCTTCATTTTGCACAAGCTGGGAATTATTTGTGGTAATGTGGTGACTCAATGAAATGTTTACAAACCTTTAGTGTGATGGGCAGCTTGGTCTTCACTTGCTAGAAAGCATTTTTAAAACAGACCATTATCCCTCCCGACCAACATCTTCTAGAGATTGTAAAGAACTTTTGTTTTGGTCTGGCAATGTTTTTGCACTGCCAAGACTTGATTTAATATAATTTACTCCTTGTCAAAAATGTATAGAAGGTTTAGTGCGACATCTCCAGGTGAGCAGGTAGTCTGTTTTTGCTTATGTTAAGGTGTTTGTGTTTAGTTCAGTTGACCAATAATATATTAGGCCAACAGTGAAAACACCCTCTCTGATGCATATGTGGTAACTGTGGCTGGGGTCACCTTTAAATAGCTGACAACACCAACTCCTGTTAAGGGATGGAGGAACCTGTGGACCCTCAATCTAAATACAAAGTTGTTTTGCAGATGTTGGGGCTTCCCTTCACAAGGACAATAACATTGGCATTCATGACCAAATAGAATGCAGCTTTATTTCACAAATATACATGTTAAAATGTCAATGTTCAGCAGCTGTCAACGGGTCAAAGGGTGAACATACTTTACACTATTGCATTGTGGGTTTCCCCTCCTCAGATGGGTAGGTCTGTTCAACTAGGTCACAATGCCTGCTAACTGTGAGGGACAAAAACAGAACAAAAGCACGCACTACTCAAAGCACAACTTCTACAAAATGATTACAGTGAGAGTTAGTCTACTCACCCTTTTAAAGTGTCCCACCGTGCAGTCCCTACACTGAAAGCAGACAAGGTTCCCCCACAGAGGGAGAGGAACCTGTAACACAAATACTTAGTCAATTATATTGCCCACAATCTGCACACAAGAAAACAATTAAAACTAAAAAAGCACTAGTGGACAGTAGTCTTTTTAAAACATAATAGTTTCCAGCTCAAACACCAATTCAATATACCATTAAAAGAAGGTTAAAAACCAGGCTTACTTTGACAGAGTAATAGATCCTCCTGGCTCAATCCAAGAGGGGAAACGATCATCAAACCTTTATTTATGCATTCATTGATCTCTTTTTCAAAGGTGACCTGCTGCAAGTAGGTTCCAGATGAATATACATGTATAAAACAAAAAACAACAGAAAAGCAAAAAGGACATCATACAGCATATTTACAGCGACTACAGTTTACATAGCTAGTGACATTTACAGGTTCCAACAGTTTCCGATTGGATAGCATCTATCCGTGCTATAAAAACATTTATTGGAACCAAATTGCTCAGTTTCCATTCCTTTTGCAGACTGTTCCAAGTTAGTGGAGCTGTGCATCTAAAAGCTTTTTTCCCTAAGTCAGTCCTAGCACTTGGCACATTTAATAAAACCACATCATGAGATCTCAGGCGATAGCTACTTTCAATTCGTCGAGAGATCAGAGAGCAGATGTAAGAAGGTAGTTTATCCAACATGGCTTTGTAGATGAACATGTACCAGTGACTGAGCCTCCGTACAGTTAGTGAAGGCAAGCCTGCTCTGGCATACAGGGTACAGTGATGAGTTAATACTTTAAAATCTCAGTGCACTGTGATAGGTGGCATTTAACTTGATTATGTAATGGGCAGGTGCATTCATATAGATCAAATCACCATAGTCCAGCACAGGTAGTGAGAACGTTCCCAGCTAGCTGGGACTATTTCCTTGTAGTCAAGTTTAGATAAAAGATTTGCTAACGAAGAAAAAGAGTCCTTGACTGCTGAGGGGGGTCTGTAACAGCCCACCACCATGACCTGTTGACCCTTTGCCACTTCAATATTTAAGGCTAAAAATTCGAGTTGTTTACTGATTGATTTGGAAACCAATGTGGTTACACTGAACGTATTCTTCACATAAATGGCAACGCCACCACCTTTATTAGGTCGGTCGGTACGATATACATTATAACCATTTACAGAGATGTAAGAGGCCAAAATACATTTATTTAGCCACGTTTCTGATAAAACAATGACATCAGCGTCAGTCGAGTTTGCCCAAATGCGGACAAAATCTAGTTTAGGTAAAAGACTGCACACATTCAAGTGGATGAATCCCAACCCAGACTTTAAAATCAGCAGGAGTAGTGATCTGACTACTACTACTGGGCGGACCAGGATTAGGTTGTACATTACCAGTTAGCAATAATAACAAAAAAACAGGCATCTTTTCCTCTTAATCGACACACCTAAATTGTCATCTACCTTAAAATCACCAGCAAGATCTGCGAAAGTGTGACTAGAGCTCAAAAAGCAGTCCTGAAGAACCATCATGGCAGGCAAGCGAAAGAGACAAACATAGTTTGCCAAACTGATTGACTGAGACAAGGCAACTGGAAATAGTTTGCGAAACACATCCGATCCTTTGCAGGGGATGCCCACAGCAGGCGGCAGAGCAGACCTGAACCCAGTCGACTTCTCAGGATGACGAGAGAACTTCTCACTGTCCAAAACAGCTAACAGGCACAGCAGAAACACGATGAGGGCCATTTTCCCATTCCAGCACAGCATCCGTGACGTTTTGGGGCAAATCCTCCACAGCACAACAGCACAGCACAGCACAGGCGAAAACAGGCCCCAGAAAAAAACAGCAACAAAGGGCCAAGGTCAGGTGTCGGCAACCTTTACTTTTAAAAGAGTGCTTTTCCTTCTCAGCCACCAAATTAAGTTTTTCTGGAGCCGCAAAACACAACACAGCTTATTTTAGGTTTTGTCATCTATGAACTTCTAGATCAAAAATAAAGGGAATTGCTGAAAGTCCAATGCCATTTTACCCAGTATAACATATAAAGCAGGACATGCTGTGTGCTTGTTTTGGAAATGTCTTTCAAGATTACATTATTTGTGGTTTGCTAATTTCTCACAAGTTTAAAGGCAAGGCAAGGCAAGTTTATTTATATAGCACCTTTCAACACAAGGCAATTCAAGGTGCTTCACAAAAATGAAAGACATTCAGACAAAGGCATTTAAAAACAGTCATTAAAAAGAAAAGATAATAAAAGAAACATTAAAAGAAAAATACATGAATAAAAAGTTACAGTGCAGTTTAAGATATGAATAGTTCACACAGAAGTTCAATTTTACTGATGCCTTTCTTTAAGGTTTCTCCGAACATGAGCTGTGTACGCATGACACATACGTCCCGAGCAGCACACAGAGAAAACCAGCAAGGACAGAGTCCCCTGACACTGATACCCTGGGGTTACTAGCCCCAAATGTTCATTAACCAAAAACGAAACACAACCGCTCAGTTTCAATTAAAAGCAGCAGCAAAAAGAAAAGTCTTCAGCTTAGTGTTATTTATTTCCATGTCTTTTTTTGTAGAAGCTTCTGGAAGCCACTGCAGAGGGGCTAAAGAGCTGCAGCTGGTACCCTACCCCTGGCCTAAGTGATACAAATGAATATGATAGCATTACATGAACATTGTAAAAAAGTACATGAGATACAAAAACAAAAAACTGATGGTGTTGACCAGCATGGACCAGCATATGTTGTGTTTTCGTCACCAGCATGGTCCACCAGCATGGACCAGCATGATCCACCAGCATGGACCAGCATGGACCAGCATGATCCACCAGCATGGTGACCAAAACACAACATATGCTGGTCCATTCTGGTGGATCATGCTGGTCCATGCTGGTGGATCATACTGGGGACCAGCATAGTATGCTGGTTTGCTGGTCACCAGCATACCAGCATGACCAGCATACAAGTGACCAAAACACGACATATGCTGGTTTTGCTGGCATACCAGCAGACCAGTAGACCAGCATTTATCTATCACCAGCTTATGTTATTATTAAATATACAATGTATTCTGGCAACTATCAAAATAAAGACATTGTATAGTGTTCATAACAGTATTTTTATTTAATAAATTATACATTAACAATACAATAATATTACAACAAAACCTTACATCTAAATAAATATATCATCTAAAATAGATGCATTTCATTTAAAAATAACAAATATTATTCAAAATTTAAATAGCAACAAAGAAATTATAAACATTTTTTTTTTTAAGTATTTTTTTTCTTTTTCTTGTTAATATCCATTATCTTCTCTGGTATGTATCTTCCGGTCTTTGCAAATCTGGCCAGCATTTCTTGGTCCTGCAAGTCTTTCTCGTACAGCCACTGCTTGAAGCAAACTGAAAATAAGAAACAACAATGTTTTAACAAATCGTATTAAATTAGGTGATGACAGCTAGTGAATAAGGAAATAAATGAAATATTCAAGGTCCTAATATTCAGCATAGCAGTTTTGCAGATAACAAAGTAAGACTGTGACATCACATCTGGAAGGGGTGGGGCTAACATGTGCTCCGGCTCCTCTGGATATCAACAGCCAACCGACATCGGCACACACACACACACATTTTAAACTGGGGACAAACAAAACAGCAACAACCTGGAAAGTACCAGCATTGAGTGAGCTGTCGAGAATATTCAGAAAGCCTGCCGTAAAGTTGAAACCTGGGAGGTGAGCAAAGCGAGGAGGACACCGGAAAGGAAAGAAGGAAGGTATCCGGATTGCTGCGAGCTCTTGGTGAGAGACATCCCCGGACGGTGCCGCCTGCAGCAGCATCACCATCAGCATGGAGGGGGAGAATCACGGTTTGTCGTCCTCCCACTAATATACACTGTTTTGCATGTTGTGGGCGTTTACAGTCGAGCCCTTTAAAGTTGGCTACCCCTGTATGTTCGGGGTTTCAAGCATTGCTGGATATCTGCTGTGCCAAGTGTTTGGAAATGACAGACTGATGTTGCTGTCAGTGTGACAGTGTGGTGGGACTGTCACTGAGAGCATGGCAGACTGTACTGTGTATAATTTCCTTAATTCATAAAGGGACTCATTACTTGATTACATTGAAACGCTTTCACAGGAAAGGGAAAATCCTGTTGTGTGTTTAGATGGCATCTTAAAACAGGTGCCCCCTTTGGTATTCATGCCAAAGGGGTATACAATTATCTTTGATGAATTATTTAGCATCGCACTGCAGCTACAGTATGGGAGCATTGTGGACACTGTAGAAATCCACATAGACAGTAGAGTTAATGCAGTGAAAGACAAAAAGTTCCGTTCCTGGGGGAATTGAGATGCAAAAGGATTTATTCATAAGCTGGCTTCTCTTCTGAGGTGCATATAGGCTGTTCAGATGACACAGTTTCACAAAATGCGTTCTTGTAAAACTGTCTTTAGAGGAAGTTCTGAATCACGCATAGGGTGATTTCCTCCCCGCCCTGTTGATGTCAAGGCCATGATGAGCTAGCTGATGGCTCAGTTTGGGCAATGATAGAGGCTTTGCCTCAATTATTTAGCAGTTTCGTTTTTTCTGTGAGCTTAATGCATCTCAAAATAGAACCATCAGAAATGGCCTCATTGCAAAACTGATGCTCTGTACACAGAAGGGAGGGCTGGTACCCCACATAATTGATCCAAAAAACTGAGATCTAACCTTACTACCAATGAGGGCTTTATAGTGATAAAGCTGTATTTTGTTTCCTCACTTACCCAGCTAAAGTATTGCCCCTTGATTGTGTTTTTGACATAGACATAAGGAACATGTGACTTTTCACATACATAATGTTTGTTTCGAGAGGATAATCATATTAATTTGGAGTCGTCTTCCCTTGTCAGTACTTTTCTATGTTCAATGAATAGGGCAATGATTATGTAATTATCTGCTAAAGTGTGAAGCACAAGAGAAGGGACATGCCAAAACTCCTAGCGCATTCAAATAACACTCTCACTGTCCCTGACACCTCCTTAGTCAAATCAGGAGCTTGTGGATCAGAATGAGTAAGTAATATCATCTCTTGTGTCGGAGCACCGTGACTGTTCAGCGTACTTGAAGCTGAGAAGGAGGGAGGATAGAAATAATCCATCCGCTGTCAAGATTCAAACAGACTATTTTCGTACAGCTCTACTTTATTATTGATGCAGACTTATGCAACAACCCCATGCTGTGTATTTGAGGATAATCTTTGCATTTTACAGTCTTGCAGTGTCATTTGTAAAGTCACCGGCTAAAGATTTAGGACAGAATTAACATACTGTGTTTTTGAACTGTGATGGTTCCCTAAATCAGCAATCTCTGGATTCATTGGGTTGTGCTCTGTTTCAAGCTTCACTTCAAAGGCTTTGAGCTGCACGTTGTCAGAATCATCATCTTTTTTTCTCGTGCTCTTTTGCAATCTACCTGCACTTGTCAATGCAGCTCAGTTTTCCTTTGCATAAAGAGATGTGTGCAAACAAAGGAAATTGTGTGCTGGTTTATAGGTGTGGTGCACTAGCTGCAGGTGTGGTTTCTGTGGTTATGGGTTTCGCCTTCGCTCTCAGTTTGAAATATAGGAGCTTCTGCTGGTCTGTAATAAGTTGATTTCAACTGTATACTGCCACTCTCTACCAATCATCAGACAGGTTTACTCCTGCACAAAGCTCCTCTCTCTTTCAAAGCATACACTGTCAAAGCAGCAGCAGCCAAATCTCAGAGGACGTGTGCAGACATATCGTATTCCTAGTAAAAAAAAGTGTGACATGAAAATAAAAATCTTTAGTTGAAATATGTCACTTCAAGGTGAATCCAGGTCTGCACTTGTGCTGTAGGCCTACTTAATAAACCAAGAAAAGCTACAGTGTAGAATAGTAAGCTGATGAAAGCATCACACCTTTATTTTCCATCATTAAATCTACACCAATCAAAGAGAGATGAAGATTAAGGGAAGCACATAGAGAAAAGCGTTAAAGGCATTGAGACAGGAAATGAAACGTGGGCTAGGGTGTTGCTGATAACGTTGCTTAAATCCATATTCAGCCTGATAAGCTTTATTCCGGTGAGCATTTAGTTGAGTAGTTTCCGCATAGGTGCTTGTTCTGCTTCCACCCAGCTATTGTTAATCACTGAATGTGATGCTACAGTGTAGGAGTTCCACCAACACAGTTCAGCGAGCTCTCGGTTGGTTTCATACCCATATGGGGAAACTCTTTTATCACACAGGAGATGTGTCTATCTACCTGACTGTTTGAAGACAAACATAGGAGTATTTTTCATCAGATTCTCCCGCTAGACGTGCCTTCTGAGGCGGCGGGAGGTTTTCTGCTAGATTTTTCAACCTAGAGGAATTCAATCTGCTGCATGGTACATTTTACTTTGTGAATGACTAACGCCCTTCTGGTTTTAAGAATAAAAGGTGTTGTTCCATTCTATGTCCACCTGGTGGCATGTATGCATAACAGAGTGCATGTGTGGGTCCAGTTCAAGGCAGGGACTACACACTACACATGGTGGTAATGTGACATGCATTGATGCTATAGGAAGTTATTTTACCATTTAAAACCATCTGAGTGAGTAGACAGCGGCGTGTTTGTCGTTATGACTGCAGACTGTTAAACTGAGCAATGTTTATGCCCCAAAAATCCTTACTATTACCCGTACCCTTGTGTGTTATGTAGCTTTTTATGCACCAAGTGACGTAACGACGACCCAATGGACCAATTGGTCCAAATGGACCAATCCGTGGAGCTCCTCACACACCAAGATCCCTTGGCGTCACTATCAAACGCAGTAGGGGGACCTATAGCGTCGATTTTCAACTATCAGGGAGTCCCATTGACTTCCATAGAGCTTTTCTCAGCCGCAGCTGCGTGGATCTCCACTCACAGTTCGCCACACACTCACGTGTGTGTGCTAAGGCTGAGTTCAGGCTGAGTTTCACCGTGTCTCGCTGTCTCGCAGACCCCACACAGCAACCAGGAAACGACACCAGTAATCCAGCTCATACTGTCCGCTCCTCGAGTCTCAGAGGGCGGAGCAGCGAGCCCTGCAACGTCCCGCTAACACGGCACCCAGACCCCACGCAGCATTCTCATCTGTTTGTTTGTATGTTTGTTTGTAGCCTTTATTTATCCAGCTAAAAAATCCCATTTAGATCAATGATCTCTTTTACAAGGGAGACCTGCCGTCATTACTGGTGTCATTTTCTGGCTGCTAACAAACGCCATTGTAACACATGAACACACATCAGAGCACAGTGGGCTCATAGGGAGGGGGGGGGCAGGAGCTCCAACAAGGCGTTTGGGACAGAGAGTGAATACACATACTATACAGAGATGCTGTATGAGAAAACCAATTCGATTTTGGAACATTGAACAATGTAAATATATTCTAGTAGACCTCAACTATGGAATTATGATCAGTAGAAATGGCCATGACATGGGACCTTTAAGTTGTAATGTTACATGGGATAAACAAAAAGGGGACACAATCCTAGAAAAACAGTTCAACAGGGCTTAATTAAAAACTGTTCAGGGAACCTTTAAGTCGAGCCTGTAGTGACTGCAATCGGTGCTCTAAGTCTCCAACGCTGTGTTGCACTATAATAACCTGCAAGACCAAATGAGGCAATAGACATACTGAATCAAAGTTTACCGTTATTGCTATGGCTCATTTGCGTTTATGGCTTTCATTAGGGAACTTACAGTTGGCTATGGGGACTCAGGCCTGGCCACTTGGCAGTTTAGTCTAACACATTGACGTTATTTCATTTACAGCAATGAACTGATAAGGAACTGATGTATTAAGGTATCCATCTATCTATCTATCTATCTATCTATCTATCTATCTATCTATCTATCTATCTATCTATCTATCTATCTATCTATCTATCTATCTATCTATCTATCTATCTATCTATCTATCTATCTATCTATCTAT